CTTGTGCGAAATTTTTCAGCACTCAGGGCCTCGTCAGCTTTTTTACCAGCGCAGTCTGCAGTAGATCTTTGTTGCCACATCAAATGTTTAATGTTACAAAAATATCTCTTTCAGCTCTATCTGGGAAAGAAGGAGATTGAGCAAACAGGCTTCATGATCTCAAATTCTGTCATTTCTATGTGGATTCTGTATGAATAGATGTGGGAAGACACTGATGAAGTAAATGTCATCTCCTTTACTAATCCAGAATATCCCCAACATATGCACATTGTACTTCAACTTGCAGGAGAACTGTCATTGTGTCAATTCATCTTTGTGTTCCTCTAGAACATTTTTGCATTTGGTTTGTTTTTGCTTTCAGTCAATGACTGAGAAGGCTTATCAGTTATACTGCTGGATAAATGATGAGGTGCTGAAAAGCAACTTTATAGTGTTCTTGTACTTCAGAAAACCTTGGTATCCACCTGCAAAAGCAGTGTTGTTCCTAGCAGTTCTCTGATACCACATCCCTCCAGGGGGCATGTTATAATAAATAAATATGCTGTAATTGTATGAGTAAGTACATAATTTAGTATTAGTATCAGAAGTTATAAATTGGAATAGTGTTTCAGTGGAGCATTCAAGTAATAACAAAAAGTATAATCAGAATCTCGTGGTTACAAGAAACTTAAGTTTTGTAGTAAGAGCTTTAGACTTAGTAGGACTGTGGCAGGCCAATTATTCTATGATGTCTTGATTTAATGTTTTATTGTTTGGGGTTTCTTCTGACGTTAAAGTACATTTGTTTAAAAATCATCCTTGTATCAAATTGAAGATGTGAAGACAGTTATACTTTTATAATGAAGATGGTTCCCTGTATTGTAAGAGACTCAAGCCTTGCTAGTTTTTTATTAGCCCAAGTAAAACAGTTGACTAGGTGATGAACTTGGGGTTTAAAAGAGCTTTCACTGTTTTTTGGCCGCTGTATTACCAGGTTAATGATTGTCAGTGGAAAGGCAAAATCTAGGGAGCTGTCTTAGGAGATGGTGGTCAAATGATATGTTGGTGTAGTTACAGGTATGTCTGATGACTGAAGGCTGTAATTTTGTGGTATGATTTTTCCTCTGTTGAAGCTGGCTTAGTCCCCCATCCCAGAGCAGTTAATTTTGTGCTGCAGTGAGTTACAACTTCTGCCCTGTATCAATACAACTGTTCTACAGAGAGCTGTCATACAGATCACTGCAGCCATCTGAATTGTGTTTCTCTGCATGTGTGTCTTTTTAATCTGACATTGCTTCATTGGTTTACAGCACCAGCCCACAAGCAATATTATTACTGGATGAAACTGTAGGGATAGGGTGGCCTAGAAAGGATGAATACTTCTTGAGAATACATACAGTTTCTTTTGGAATATGTGAGAACTTTTTCTGAGAAAGCTGAATTATCTTTCAGATTATGGTTGATTTATAGACTTTCTGTATTATCAGTGATAGTAAATTCTGGTCTTTACAATTTGTTTTTAACATCTGTCTGCTCATAATGGTGTTCTGTTGTAAGTCGTCACGGTTAGTTAATATTTTCTGTGGTATCCTCTAAGAATTTTGCCTGGAAATCAGTTGCATTTTCACGTGCCAAACCTACAAAGTATCTAATGCTATAAGTTATTGATTTAAATTTAAAGTAAAACTTAAATTTAAAAAAAATTTTTTCTGAATTAAAAATTCCATGAAATATGTATGTCTAACAGTTCATAATCTACAGATTTTTCTCATTTGTAGACTAATACACAGACAACTTATACTCATTTGTAAAAAACTTGTCATTAGACATTTTCCTAACTTCTGCAAAAGCTGTAAGTACATAGCTTTTCAAAATAGTAGGTTCTGATTTCTGCACCAAGATGCTTATTTGAATCTTGAGTTGAATCAACTAAGGCAACTTTTAAAAACGGAAGAGGTTGGAAAATTATTTTTTTCTGGAAAATGCTGTTGTATTTTTTCTTAGTGCTTGTAAAATTAAATATGAAATTGTGAGAATACATGTAAAGTCCTTGACATTAACTTATCTGTCAAAATAATAATAGCTGTATTTGGGGCCAGGGTTCATAATGAAACTACAAAATGGCTACAAGTTGCTCAAAAAAGGCACCTGCTGCCAGAGACAGACATGCTAAAACACTGAATTTTTTCACAGCCTTCTTAAAAAATGCAGAGATTTCTTCTGTTGAATAAATGCTAAGTTAAAAAACAAGCTAAAAGCCCCCACAACTGGAGTTACAGCAGTAGTGGGTTTTTTTTTTTTCATGCCCTCATGTAAATAAAAGGAAGGGTTGGCTTAATACAAGATGATCATTAATACTTTCTACCACTTACTAGCTGCACATAGTGCCTTTTTTGCTTAATTAGCAGGATGTCCATTTTACAATCAAAATACACTCTTTAGGCGTTCAATACCTGGATGCTGGCATACTGAAGTTGCAGCTGGGATAGAGTTAATTTTCTTCCTGGTAGCTAGCATAGTGCTGTGTTTTGGATTTAGTACTAGAAGAATGTTGATAACACACTGATGTTTTTAATTGTTGCTAAGCAGTGCTCAGACTACTCAAGGTCTTTCTGAGCTTCTCCTGCTCGGCCAGGTGCGTAACAAGATGGGAGGGAGCACAGCCAGGACAGCTAACCCAGACTGACCAAAGAGCTATTCCATACCATAGAATGTCATGCTCGGTGGGGGGGTTGGTTGGTCGGAGAGGGGGAAGAGTGATCGCCACTCATGACAGGCTGATGGTTGGCGGGTGGTGAGCAATTGCATTGTGCATCATTAGTTTTGTATATTCTGTATATTCTCACCATTCTCATTATTACTATTTTTATTCTTCTTTTTCTCTTATTAAACTGTCTCTACCTCAGTCCACGGGTCTTACTTTTTCTTTCCTTTTCCCTGATTCTCTTCCCCATCCCACTGAGGGAGGGGGGAGCAAGTGAGCGGCTGCGTGGTGCTTAGTTGCCAGCTGGGTTAAACCACGACAACTTCTAACAATTAAAAATTAGTACTGGTTTTGGCTGTTAATTACATTTCAGTATCCATTGAAGTAGAATGTGATATGTATCAGACATTTAGTAACCATTTAATTGACAAACCTTAATAAGGTTAATTTAAAATGTGACCATCCAAAGAAACATAATTTGGGCTATATGATGTATGGTGTATTCCATTGCTCAGCTGAATAGGCTGCTCTTTATATTGGCCTATTTTTTTACTGCAAATGGATTTAACTGCTGGCAACTGAAAAAATTAGAATTGGAATTGCTTTAAAATATGGGGTTTATGGTTTTTATTTCTTTTAATGTAAAAATGATTTCTCAGAGTGTTTGCCACAATGAAATGTTGCATTTAAATATGCTGTTAAGATGCAGTTTCATGGTTAACAATTGTAAGTCTGAACTGCTGCCAGAGAGGAATGAACACAGTCATGTTTTCCTCCACCCCACACCACCACCTATGCTCTTTCATGAGCAGCTAACAAATCCTTCTGTTGTGAATGACCTTCCCAACTCTGACTTAGCAGCAGGAACACATGGTTAATTGCAAGGATGAAAAGAACCAAACTACTTCTTTAAGCACAGGCAGCTTATGAACCGGTCCTCTATCAGCGGTACTTCCACAGCCAGTATAAGCCAGTACGATGGCTTGCTGCTGCCAAAAAGATGCTTTCTTAGTCCTGTATCCTCTTCAACTATCCCTACCCCTTTCTTAGCACTGGATCCTACCACTTTCCAACCCCTCTTTCGTCTGATAAACTGACTAGCCTAACTCAGCATAGGGTGCTGGCAGGTTGGAGAACTGAGTCATCTCATGGAAAATCCTCGGGCACCAGAGCTGGTGCAAGATAAACAGCTCATAGAATCATTTGGTTGGAAAAGACCTTTAAGATCAGAGAGTCCAGCCACACCTGTCCACTACTAAACCAGGTCACTAAGCACCTCATCTGCCTGTCTTTTAAATACCTCCAGGAGCAGGTGACCATGAGCAGGTGGGAATACCAGGGCAAGGACAACAGGGACGTCTCCTTCCACCAAAGTGGTGAGGAGATGTTTGGATCAGCTTATTCCATCTTTTAGAACCTCTCCCTTAGCATTTACATGAAAAAGTTGAGACTTTTATGGAAGAGTGTGATGAAAGTTTCAGGAACCTTAACTGCCTTTCAGAGGTGTTACGGTACCTTGTTTCTTGTTGGCATTTTGAAGCTGATGCTTGGCTGTCATACTAGAGCAGTCTTAAAGAGTAAACAGACTTAACTTATATATATATATATGTGTGTGTGTGTGTATATATATATAAAGAACCTATCACCATATAGATAAACATTCTTTGGAACCACTCTGACATTCGTTGAATGAAGAACCTGTAGTGCTCAAACTCTTCTCTGCTAGTAGTTAGACCCTCAAATTGTCAGTATTCTTAAAGCATAGACTTTGATTTTCAGTATTTTATCTAAATACATATGATCCACCACCAAATTCTTAGGACAGGGATTAGGTTTAAAAAAAGTACCATAGGTATATTTAAATATGTCTTGAGTTAGTTTTGCTCAAGGTCCACTGTGCCCGGCCACAAAGGCTGACCTTATCTGTGTGGCTGCGTGTTTACTCACATCTGGAAGCAATGTTGTATTGCAGACCCACAGCCTGCAGCCAGCTCATTTCTTTTCATAAGCGTTTGTTATTCTTGATCTTTTAAAATGTAAACTGAAGTAGGATAAGTAATAAGAGATGTAAGAAGTGTAACACAGCTGAACTTGCTAACATCTTGAGACAGAAGGAAAAGTTGTGTGGTTGGAGGTTTTTTTTTTCCTGAAAAACAAGTTCACAGCAGTTGTGGATAATGTTTATAGAAAGGGGGTGTTGTTGGGAAGAATAAATTATAGCAGTTGTGCTTTTTTATCAAGCTCTTTCTCTGTAACAGCTTTTACTAGTAATGTTGTCTTTTTTTCTTTTTTTCTTTTTTTCTTTTTTTTTTTTTAGTGTGGACGTGAGGAGCTTCTTTCTTCCCGTGTCAGTAACAGGCCTTTTACCATGAACAATTCTACTCCAGCTACAGGTATACATAAAGAAAAATGTTTATTACAGTTCTTTACAGTGTGTGTTTTCTCTATAAATGTATGTTTTTGTATTCTTTATTGTCACCATAGCCTCACCAAGCCTGAAATAATGTGTCTCCAACAGCAGAGCCACTAGAGTCTATCCAATTCAATGACAGTATTGAGGAGGTCCAAAACTGATCCGTTGAAATGGGGGAAAAAAAAATAATCTGTTTTTCTATAATCATGGTCAAGCAAGTAACTTTCTGCACAGGTTCTTAAGTGCCTACTCAATTTTCCTGTAGTTGTGCATTTGAAAGGAATTTGTTTTCAAGTGTTTCAAGTTGTCAGGATTACAGAGACAGAAGATTAATATCCTATATCAATCTCAGTTTGGTGGAACATAAGGCATGTTATATGGATTTGTGATAAAAGGTTAAGCTGATTCCTTTGGTGTTCTTGTCCCTGCTTTCTACCCTACTTCCAGAACTTCTTGAGCAGCAGTACAGACAGCCCTGTGATTTCTTTTCAGATGTTTTCCTGCCAGTTCTTGTCCCCAGACAATCTCTCTATGGGTTGAGATGAATGGTAGTGGGTTTGTAAGGGAAGCAGTAGGAAAACGATTTTTTTTTTTTTTTTTTTTTTTTTTCCTGATCAGATATTTTCTTGATCTGGTTCACTACATATCTGCACAGATTGTTCTTCAGCAGAATGTTTTTTTTGGGAGATGGTGTGAAATTGGATAGATAGACAGATGCAGGGTAAGGGAACTGGATCTATTTAAGCAATGTGATGGCTCAGTGTGAAACCACAGCCACATGTTTCTTCAGACATGTTAAACTAGTACTACCATCCAAAAAAATTAATACTCTGCCGCAATCCATGTGTTGAGAAAGATGCAGTAAGTGTGTTTGGCTACCTGTAGTTTTAGATCAAATGAAAAGTTGAAAGTGAGAGAAAGCTGGGACTGCTTCCTTTAGATGTACTTTCAGCTTAGGTGGCCCATGGCTGCATAAGTTAACTTTAAGTAAAGTAAATTAACTAATGCATGACATAAACTATTGCCTGTCAACAGTGGTTTCCAGATAGTTGATTTTATGAGGCAAGGGACAGGGAAGATGACATCTTGGTAAGCATCTAAGACTTACTTGCTATATTTCCAATAAGATAAAAGGGGAAGGAGAAGTCTGAGGAGCTAACTTGAAGATTTTTCATTTTGATTTCTTTGACTTGCACATGTAGATTGTTCATACTTCTGCAAATCAATTCATTGTGATGTTCAGAGGCTTCTGCTTGGCTAGAAACAACATTAGCTTATAACTCAGTAATTTAATAGCCAAAATATATTTCAGGCATGTGTAGATGGTATTTTTGTGCGAAGAAACCAGCTGGCAAGGAATATAAATTTGTATTGAGTTCAGGTGGCTTTTACTAATTACCAGTGCAACCACTGATCCTTCATGGTGATGTCCAGGGTGTCTAAATGATATTAAACTTTAAAATAAGGTAGACATGTTTGTCTCCTAATAAATCGCCAAACCTCTAATTCTCATTGATGACTCTGCGTGTCATTTTTGATTTATATAATCTATTGAGATGCATGTCTTTACCTAAAACAACTGCTTCACCTACAGCAGTTCTTTCATCTGGTGGGTCACATATCTAAAATAAGTTTTGGGTTTCTTGATCTGATTCCCTCACTTGGGGAATATATTTGTGCCAGTAATGAATTATGATCGCAATGAAATGTCCTTGTAGCACCAGGTCCTAAATTTCACTTTGTTCATAAGACTTCTTTTATCTTTGTCTGTCTGAAAGTATTTTTTGCTTTTACCCAACTGAGTGTAAAATTCAGAAGAGGTGATTGCCTTGGGCATGCTTTAAAGAATTGTAGAATCAAATTTGGAATTTAGATGCCATAAAAAACCACATGATTATCACTTTGCATGAAAATTAGTATCAAACAATAGCTGGAGAAGGAAGCATGGTTTAAAAAATGCTGAGGCCTTTATACTTGGGATGGAATGAGTGCTAGCTCTTATTGCTGATTTAGCAACTTAGCTAAAGTTCCACGAAACTTCATATAATTACAACAGGAAAAGAAGCACTTTAATAGGATTTTTAGGTCAGGTGTCACTCACTGTTCAGAGGCCAGAACAACTAGAGCTAACATCTGCTTGCTAATGGGTAGATGGTGAAATAGGAGATGCACGCTGTATGTACCCAGGCTGAAACTCTTCTGGTGAGCACTGTCCTTTTTGGCTGAATGCCTGACCTGAAAACTCCTCTAACAGTCAGTGAAGTTGTAGAGAGAAAATGCTGTGCTTGCCACTTAGCTCCATCTTATCATCTCTGATAATGAATCAGAAACCAGAAGGTATTGCTTCTGTGAGAGTGTCTCATCTTAAACTAAAGCCAAAACTCCTGTTACACTTCATTCCCTGCTTTCTTTAGTCAAGCAGTCCTTGACTTAGTAAAGTGAAGAACATCTTGTCCATTTTGAACCTGAAAAGTAAATTTAACAAAATAGAATGGGTTGTTAGGCTTTAATAGAAATATATCCTGTTGTGGCTTGGTACTGATATGCGTTTAATATGTTTCCATTTGTCTTAAAGTCTCATCCCCAACAAGTGTGCCACATGTTCACATTTTTCAGAATGCATACAGAGCACATAATGCCATTTAAAATTTCTTGATGGAAAAATCAATGCATAGTAGACTTTTCTGTTTTGCAGGTGGGGGGATTAGTTAACTTGGCTTCTGAGTGTGCCATAGTTGGGGCTTAGGTCATCTTAACTTGGAGTTTACAGACTTCCACTAGTAAAAAAACCCTCAGTAAAGGTCCTTGTACAGAATGACTTGTGGGAACCACTTCTCAGCATTAGACTGTACTCAATACCTACCACAAAATCTGAAATTACTTACTAAGCTCATGAAGGTATTTTTTCATAATTTCTTTTGTGATTCTCCTTGGAAGGCTAAATGCAACACATAAGGTGTTACGGCTGTCTCTCTTGCTGGAGTGAAGCTGTTTGTGGCACATAATTAAATGCTTTGGCTTAAGTAGTATATAGTTAGACTTCAGTACAATTTCCACCAAATCTGCTGTCTTTCCTCTCAGTTTAGGATATTTTTTTCACCAAGTCTTGTAAGCCTCTGTAACTTTCTTTAGGAGAATCGCTAACTGGGATCTGTAGTTTGGCTAATGAATTTAATTTTTACTGCTTTAAGTTATTACTCCATTGTGATAGCTTCTACAACATTATGCCTGTTCCAAATGTGGTGTTCTGCTTAAAAGTGCTCTCAAGGACTCAGAGTCATCTCCTTGAAATATAACCATTGGTTACTTACCTGTTACAGCATCCAAATGGACATATGTTAAAAAAAAAAAAAAAGAAAGAGGCAGTTTGCCAAAGTGGAAGACTTTAGAATCTGTATGGATTCCATGCCTCACTGCTGTCTGTCCTGTTGAAAGACTTTATAAAACTTACAATCATGTGGGACAGCAGGCTTTGTTTAATAAAAAAAAAAAATAAAAAAATGAGGTAGCTACTGAATCTAATGAAAAAACATACCATGCAGGAAGATAAGTTAGTAACAAAAAAAAATCCACTACCTCCCAATTACTACTTAACCATTGTCTGTGTAACTAACGTTTTGTAAATACATTACATGGGCACTTGGGATTGGCCTCTCTGCCTGTAAGACTTAAAAAACCTAAAAACAACAACAAAAAACCAAAACAAAACAAACATACCACATGCTCTCCTTGCAGTGGAGATTTGGAACAGCTGAAGGAGTCTTCTTAAACTGTCCTTTGGTTATATATGAACTGTCTTTCTTACGATTCAAAGAGCTATAGATAAGTCAATGTCAGTGCTGAGACAGCAGTTTATCTCTTACGTTTTGGTATCCGTACTGTGCAATAGGTTTGTCTTGTTTGCTTGTCCACCCCCCTCCCTAAAATATTTTAGCTAATGGGAACGACAAGAAGAAATTTAAAAGAGACAGATCGCCATGCTGTCCTTCACGTGTCCTTCATCTTCGTCAAATTCCAAATGATGTTACTGAAGCAGAAGTAATTTCATTAGGCCTCCCTTTTGGCAAAGTAACCAACCTCTTGATGCTAAAAGGAAAAAGTCAGGTATGTAATTTTCAATATTTCAATTCTAAGAACAAGGCTGAAGATGTGGTTCAGGTTACGACTCTTTTGTTATTGCATTTGGCTAAAATGATTGGAACAATGTCTAAATGTTTCATTGATAGCTCAAGATTTTAATATTTTCAAATGTGAAAGGATGTCTTGATATTTATTTTAAGTTTTCAATATACTTTTGGATTAAATAAATGATCTACTGACTTAATAGTATTGCTAAACATTATATCCACCTTATGTGGAATATATAGATGATAAAGAACTACATTGTCACTAGTGATATTGAGATGCGTCTTGAAATAACCATCCTGATTAAATAATTAACATGCATGTTAATTTTTTAATGTGAAATAAATTGTTTAGGTTTTTTTTTCATTCTTTCTTATGTGATGGGGTAGTTCACATCATGAATAAACACTGAAATCCTGAAAATAATGCATCCAAAGCACTGAGCTGGGTTAATATAATGCACAAACAGATAGATGTTTAGTGTCCGGTTCCTACTTCTTCAATCACTATGTGTATCTGCTACCTAGGTAATAGTGCTTGGATTCAGGAATCTAATAAATTCATTAGCAGTGTGATATTTTTAGCAGCATTATTTCCCATATGTCACTCATACTCCACCTCTTCTTTAATGACTTATTGTACTTAGAATATAAAACCCTCTAAGAAAACCCACAAATCAAATCAAATATCCCCATAAACATGCACACACAAATGCATTTTAATGCTGAGCAAATCAGTACTGTACTTTCACATGGTCTTTTTCTAATGAGAGTGGAATTGGGAATAAATGGTGCTTTGATACCTTGTTCTCTCCTGTAAACAAAACTACACTGAAAACTGCTTTGTATTGGTTGCAGGCATTTTTGGAAATGGCTTCTGAAGAAGCTGCTGTTACTATGGTGAACTACTATACTCCTACTACACCTCACCTCCGCAGCCAGCCTGTTTATATTCAGTATTCCAATCACAGAGAGCTTAAGACTGACAATCTGCCTAATCAGACTGTAAGTATAATATTTCCGTTTAACAGAATAGAATTGCACGTGAGCTGTGTACTGGTTTTGGCTAGGATAGAGTTAATTTTCTTCATAGTAGCTAAGCATCAAGGCCTTTTCTGCTTCTCACCTTGCCAGTGTGAGTTCGCAAAAAGCTGGGAGGGGGCACAGCTGGGACAGCTGACCCCAGCTGACCAAAGGGATATTCCACACCATATGAGGTCACGCTGGGGGAAGAAGGAAGAAGGTGGGACGTTTGGAGTGATGGCATTTGTCTTCCTAAGTAACTGTTAAGTGTGGTGAAGCTCTGCTTTCCTACAAATGGCTGAACACCTGCCTGCTCATGGGAAGTAGTGAATGAATTCCTTGTTTTGCCTTGGTGCAGCTTTTGCTTTACCTGTTAAACAACCGGTATTGCAACCCTTGAGTTTTCTCAATTTTACCCTTCTGATCCTCTCCCCCATCCTGCTGGGGGGAAGTGACTGAGCAGCCGTGTGGCACTTAGCTGCCTACCAGGATTAAACCACAACATTAGTAAATAAACCGTCTACTTGTCATTACACCAATTGTCAAATTCTGATAGATATTTTTTCTGTCTGTTATTATCTAAGCAGTAACTTTTTTCAGAGAGGGACTTCTCAATATCTGTAAAATTACTGTGGAGGAGCTCAGGAATGGTTCGTTCAGGAAATGAAGTGAAGGTAGCAGGAGGACTGCTTGGATGAACATGGAGCTCCTGACTGAACTCAAACATAAAAAAGAGGCATAGAAAATGTAGAACCATGGACAGGTGACCCAGGAGGATTATAGAGCATTATCTGAACATGCAGGGATGTGGTTAGGAAAGTCAAAGACCACGTGGAGTTGGTTCTGGTAAGGGATGTGAACAGCAACAAGAATGGCTCCTCAAAGTGTATCAGCAGCAGAAGTGAGATTTAGCTAATATGTGTGGCAGGGGCCCTGGTGACAAAGGACATGGAAAAGGCTGAAGTAGTGGATGCCGCCTTCTCAGTCTTTAGTGGTTAAGGCTTGCCCTAGGGAATACCAAAGCAACTGCTCACAGTAAAAGTGCTCACTTCTAATTGGTGCTGACGCAAAAGTCACTGAAATCTTGCAAGCTTGTCAATCTGATAAACGTTATTTGTCTCTTTCCTCATCCAAGATTGCTGGATTGGTTTGTTACCTGCAAAAACAAATAAATAAAATAACAAGATTTTTTTTTTTTTTAAGGGTGTGGTGTATGTAACAGCCTCAGGAAAATTATCCTCGTATTTGCGAATAAGACTCCTTGTTTCTCAGTATTTTCAACTCAATGCATGACACTTGCTTTCTCCTATAAAAACAAAACTGTCTACTTTAATTTTTTTTTTCACTTATGATTCTTACATTTGAGTTTTATTTAAATTTCAGAGACCCTAGCAGAGCAGCTGAACACAATGTTACTGACCTAGCATCTGGGCTCAGGCCTGAAGTACAGATTATTTTGCAGGGTTACATCTTTACTGTGCGCCATGTTTAGTCCATCTTCCAAGAAAATAGTGTTACTGAGACATGACTTCAAGTCACAACACTACATTTTGAAAGACACGTCCCTCCATAGTGCTCTCAGAGGTAGTCTGAAGGCCTTTTTGAGGAAAGCCCATCAAAAACAAAGCATAGAGACTTCCAAAGTCCTAGTGAGGCAGTTTTAGGAATGAGATTTAAAGGTGTTTTCTGTTATTGATAGCTTGGCTCAGAAAAAAGAGCAGGTTATGCACCTTTAAGCTTATCACCAGCAAAATTTAGTTCCTGAAGAGAATTAAATCCTCATAAAGCATAGCAAATGGTTTCTGTTGCTGTTGTTGCTTAACCCCAGCCAGCAGCTCAGCCCCACACAGCCGCTTGCTGACTCTCACCCGGTGGGATGGGGGAGAGAATCAGAAGGGTAAAAGTGAGAAAACTCTCGGTGTGTGCTTAGCTGCTGGCTGGGTTTAAACCATGAGAGGTACACTGACTAGTTGTTAGTCTATTACAGTATTGTTGTCATACGGATTTGCTGGAAACTCTCTAGAATGACAAAATCTTACTGAATCAAAGCAAAATTAGGTCTATATGGCATCACAAAATAGTAACAGTTTAATTCTGTGAAAGTATGATCTGACTTCTTTTAGGGGAGGAGAAAGGGGAAAAAGAGGAGGTATGAGTTACCTATTAACATGAGATTTGAATCCATAATCAGATAAAGGGAAAGTGTTTTTTAAAAGTTGCATTTTAAATGCGTTTTACATGCTTTTCTTTGTAAGCAAACTTTGTTTAGATATGAATAATTCATATGCGTGTAAGTTAATTGTGGTCTCTGCTGTGTCATGATTTCAGAGAGCACAAGCTGCATTGCAAGCTGTGAATGCTACGCGGTCTGGAAACCTCGCTATTACAAGCACTGTTGCTGCTGAAGGTGGACTCCTTCCAGGTCAAGGTTCTGTTCTTCGAGTCATTGTTGAAAATCTTTTCTACTCTGTCACTTTAGAAGTGCTGTATCAGGTAATGAGGATTGCTGGGGGGAAAAAAAAAAAAGTTAAAATCTGTTCCAGTGTTGCCATTGTAAATCCATTATTTTTTTTCTTTTTTCGTTTTTTTTTAATTCGAAGTACCTGTGGATTCTTAATCGTTTGAATGAGGACTGTAGCTTTAAAATTATTTGTTGCAATTTAGGGATCTAGGCTTGAATCAGTTTTGCACAAAAAAATCAAAGTAAGCAGAGCTTCTGTGCTTAGTTTTTCATGTTGTCTTTCACTTCTTTTAGTTCCTTGGTTTCTGTGGAAGCAGCAATAAGCTTTAGGTGTTATTTCTAATTTATGCCCAGATAATGAGCTAGCGAAACAGTGATTATTATGAACTTGTGGACCAATATTTTAGCACTCTTTGTAGTGAGTAACTTTTGTAGTTTGGATTATACTTTAGGGTTTTATATTCACTTTTATAATTTGATGCAAGTGATGTAAAATACAAGTATAGTTGCTTGGACAAATGTTTTTGAATGTTCATCAACTGTTAGCATGCCATTTGCTTTAACTACCTCTGAAAGCCTGGAATAGTGGTGGGCAGTAGCTATGAAGGACAATACCATAAATCCTGCTAGGGGTTGTGCTACACTGCTGAGAACTAGAAGTTTAAAAATAATAACTTTACAAGACTATTTTGTGCCTGAAGGATTTGTTCATACTTTTTTCAAATATTGCAAAGGGTTTCATACTTGAAGCTTTTGTAATTACTAGTAAATTTGTGCAATAAAAACAATGCCCCAAATATTACTTTCTTGAATTAATGCAATTTTAAATAGCTGGGATGTTTTTACAAGCACCTGAAGTCCTGGAAGAAGACTTTTGCTGCTCTACTAGCATCTCAAATAATAGTTGATTGTTACTATTTTTCCTCTTATGTCTTGCTACTTCCTCTTTCTCTGTATCTTGCCCCCATGATACTAATTAACTAGTAAACTAGTTGCCACTTCGATCTTGCAGTTTGCCTGATCTAAACTTTTGTTTGTGTCTATGAGTATTGTTTGCTCATTATTGAGCTCATGCAAACACTGTGTCAACTGTTTAGGATTATTATTATTGCACTCAGAGTAACTTGTACTAGTTTAATACTGGAACGGCAATTCCTGGATCTAATCTTGTCAGGGGGGCTTGTTTGGTAGTTTGTTTTTTACTAAGCAGGCAGTGGACAAGGAAATGCATGGTCATTTGCATTAATTTGATTAATGTTTACTTCAGTGCAGCAGAAATATATTTTCAGTCTTTGAATTGCCCAATGACCCTCACTTAACTACTTGTGCAATAGGTATTTTGGTACTTCCCAAACTCACCTTTCCTCTTCCACTGTTAATTTGGACATAGTTTTTCTGCACTTGTATGATAACTATACTTTTGTCCTTATTCTTTGTGGCTTTGCTTTTGTATACCCATATACCTATACACTACCTTCATGTAGTGCATGCTTTCATTTTGACTATATATGTAGTTAATTTCAATAAATTAAATACGATTCAATTGTAAATTTGAGGGGTAGGTCCCAAACTAGGTCTTTCTCTTGCTTCTTTCCTTCTTTGCCTTCTAGTTTGGACAGTGGGTCTATGTAATTAATTTGTAGCACATCAACTATTTAAGATGTATTTTTGATCACCAAATTTGCAGAATTTGTTTGAAGAACAGAATGTAAAGGTGGATACCTTGGAAGGCAGTTTGCAGTTCTCATCTCAACTGACTTGTGAAAGTCCATTTCTCAAACCTCTACTTTGATTATCCACAATTTCTCTGCAGACATTGGACAAACGCTTCTTTGGAGTGGCCTTTCCTGCTCTTAGCTGAACAGTCATTGCTAAATCTTTAAGGAAATTTTACCCTCCTTCCCCATCTTTTGTAGCTTTATTTTTTTTTTACCTGAAATAAAATTCTGAGTTCATTCCGTTTCTGTTCAGCTCTCACAAAAGAAATAATTTTCAGAAATTTACATGAAGTGTTAAAATGCTAGTTTTTAGTGTGAATGTATTATTCATTGTTTCTGAAAGTCCATGTTTTTTCCTTCTTAGATTTTCTCTAAATTTGGACATGTTTTAAAGATTATCACCTTCACTAAGAACAATCAGTTCCAAGCTTTGCTCCAGTATGCTGATCCAATGAGTGCATATTATGCCAAAATGGTAAGTGTAGTGTATTCAGCTTGATTTTTTTGGAGTGTTTTTTTTTTTTTTTTTTTTTTTTTTTCTCCCCAGATAAATGGGGAACATAAGGGATAGTTTGATCATTAACTTTATGAATTCTCATTATTCTACGACTCTTGTTGCACATGAATAACTTCAACATCCCTCTTTAGTTAAGAGGATAATGCTCTATCATCAACTACTGACATAAATGTATGGTACATACCCCAAGCCCTACATGAGTCTACCAAAACAAAAATCGGAGCTGTCAGTAGTGATGAGTGATGGTAACTGTGGCTGGCCAAAAAGTCTTTTGCCTTTCAAACTAAATGGGATATTTTCAGTGAGGTTCAATACTAGGAGTCCTATAGTTAAATACCCAGAGATGAGATGAATGTTACATGTTTTACTTGTTTGAATTTCAGTGAGAAATTTACAGTAATCGATGTTTTCACCTTGAACTTCTTAATTTCAAACCATCTGTACCCTGATACTTAAAATCCACATTCTTAGTAATGAAGAAGAGCTCACCTATTTTAGGTACATTTTCTGTGGTGGGTTAACTTTGGCTGGCTGCCAGACACCCACCAACCTGCTCTCACTCCTCTTCCTCAGCAGGACATGGCGAGAAAATAAGATTAAAAAGCTCATGGATCAAGATAAGGACAGGGAGATTGCTCACCAATTACCATCACAGGCATAAAAGACTCGACTTAAGGAAGTTTGATTTAATTTATTGCCAATTAAAAAAAGAGAAGGATAGTGGGGAACAAAAACAAAAGTAAAAACACATTCCCCACACCCTTACTCCTTCCTGGGCTGAACTTCACTCCCAACCCTTCTGCCTCCTCCCCCTGAGCGGCATAGGGCGATGGGGAATGAGGCTTGCTGTCTGCCCGTAACACTTTTGTCTCTGCTGCTCCTTCCTCCTCACACTGTTCTGCTCCAGCATGAGTCCTCTGCACAGGATACAGTACATCACAAACTACTCCAGCCTGCGTCCTTCCCACAGGGTACAGGTGGTTATCTGCTCCATTGCGGACCTCCATGGGCTGCAGGGGGACAGGCTGCCCCACCATGGTTTTCTCCCGGGGGATCTCTGCTCTGACACCTGGAGCACCTCCTCCTCCCCCTCCTTCTCTGACCTTGGTGTCTGCAGGGCTGTTTCTCTCACACTGCTGTCTGTCCTAGCTGTTGCACAGTGTTTTTTACCCTTTCTTAAACATGTTATCACAGAGGCACCACCAGTGTTCTGACTGGCTCTGCTTTGGACAGCAACAGACCTGTTTGGAGATGGCTGGAATTCACCCTGTCCAGCACAGGGCAGCCCCATGTCTTTTCCCACAGAGGGGTAGCAGCACCCCCCTACCAAAACCTTCCCATGTAAACAATTATTTTTTTTTTTGTCCAAAAATTAAAAAATTAATTTCCTTATAATAGCTACGTATTTTCATTTCTAGAAAATATGGTTAATTTCCTCAGTGAGGAATAGTTTGGCAATTAAATGTTAAGAGCTGAGACCCCCAAAGATTTTTGCAGAAGGGAGAGCAGTGTTACAAATTGTCACATTATAATACTTGAACTGTGAAGTAAAAATAAAGACAGAAAATAAAATACTTCACTTTCTTGAAACTAAGCCCAAGACACTTTATTTCTCTTTAACCTGTGTCATCACCTCAAGATTAACAAATAAATAAAATCAATTTGAAAGTTCAATTTGAAATAAGGTATATAGAACAATAGATTCTGCTAATTATTAAGTGGTATTTAGTGTTCTTTTTTTTTTTCAAAAAATTACCAAAAGAGTAGAGTGAATGGAACTTTTATCCTACTTTTGTTATTGAAGTTGGCTATTCTCAACTTCAAAATTAAAGGCACAGAATATTTATCTATTGTTGCTTGCACTTTAGTCCAGTAAGTAAATTCACTATGTGTTTTAGAGATGAAGTGTATATTGGAAATTAGTAAAGGTAGTTGGGATTATAGCCTGTTCCGTAGCAATAGCATTTTTTCTTAAATAACAGAATTAATAATAAATTATACCTTATTAAAGACTTCACAGAAATTATAATTTCAGATGAGATGATATTAAGTACTTTTAACAAACCAGTATCTTTTGAATGGCTTTTTCCCCCTTCATCCATCATGATTTTTTTATGACTGGTATAGGCAGAAAAAAGACCTTTAAGACCATAGAGTCCAACAGTTAACCTAGTGCTGCCAAGTCCACCACTAAACCATGTCCCTGAGCACCACATCTACGCATCTTTTAAATACCTTCAGGGATGAGGACTCAACCACTTCTCTGGGCAGCCCGTTCCAGAGCTTAACAACTCTTTCAGTGAAAAAAATTTTCCTAATGTCCAATCTAAACCTCCCCGGGCGCAACATGAGGCTGTTTCCTCTTGTCCTATCACTTGTTACTTGGGACAAGAGACCCAAGCACCCACCTGGCTGCCCCCTCCTGTCAGGCAGTTGTAGAGGGCGATAAGGTCTCCCCTCAGCCTCCTCTTCTCCAGGCTGAACAACCCCAGCTCCCTCAGCTGCTCCTCACAGGACTTGTGCTCCAGACCCCTCACCAGCTTATGTAAGGAGCAGTTCTGTACAATAAAAATCTCCAAATTAGTATCGCTACTAGCATCTGATATTGTGTGTTGAGTGCAAGACAAGTAAGATTAGAAGCACATCTAGAAAGACAAGACATGCTTAAAGCTATGTTTTGTCCATTGGCACAAGGCAACATAATACTAATTAGTGGACTACACTAGCACTCTACACAGGATATTTATCGAAGGAATGTGGCTGTATAATTGTCTACTTGGTGTTTAAAAGCAGCACCTTAAAAACAGAAGATGTATTTCTGTTTGGACACAATTGCAGTGGTGGCTGCCAGTATGTGTGTTATCTCTGAAAATGTGATTATTTTTCTTCAGGGTCTGGATGGCCAAAGTATTTACACTGGGTGCTGTACTCTGCGTATTGATTTCTCCAAGTTAACTAGCCTTAAGGTAAAGTACAACAATGAGAAAAGCAGAGATTTCACTCGCCTTGACCTTCCTTGTGGTGATGGCCAGCCACCCCTGGAGCCATCCAGAGCTGCTGCCTTTGGTAAGAAAACTTCACTTTTAGTGGTAAATACCCAGTAAGATCATTATGCTTTTTATGTTGCATTTATGCTCTGGCTTCATAACAGGTTCATAGAAGGGTACATTTTCTGTAGATTTCTGTTTGTTAGGTCCAGTAAAGTTTGTATGGAAAGCAGAAAATCCTACTCAAGATTAATTATTATTTGAAACTATAACATGAGGAATGCTCTTGGGCAAATTCAAAGTGTTGTCAAAAAGCTACATTTGTAAAATGATATCATTGGCACAGGTAGTATAATAAATGATGCATGTCAGAACAGTCAATGGCAGTCATATGAAATTGGCACTGGTTGCCCAAAGCTGCTGGATAATAAACGTTTTAAGTGTGTTAGCTCTTACTTCTTGATAATTTAGAATAACTGCCTGCTGTAACAAACAAAACCCTATGAAGTGCTACACTTATTTATATATGTTTTGTAGTCACCTTCTAAAAGATAAAATTTTAGAAACTTTCTTAAATTTTGGAAGTCACTTCCATGACATAGAGGACATAGTGTCTGCTAGAAGCCACACTGGAGAAGAAATAGCTCATGCATGCTCATTTAATCAACTTTGGTAATAATGCAAATAGTCAAACAGATTAATCTGATGACCTGGTAGAAGTGCTCCCAATGCTATTTGGCTGATTTGGGCTATTTTTCTTTACCTCTAACGACAACCATTAGCAGTAATACACAGCTAAGAATTGTCTCAGCTGTTCAATATGTATCTAAGTACTGTCCAGTTAGTTAGAACAGTAGCAAGGGCTGGGGGAAAATTCCCTTTTTTTTCTTTTAGTTTGCTGTGATAGCTAGAGCAGATAGTGGGTTTAGTTTGTGGTTTTTGGGTAGTTGGCTTTGGTAACTTAGACTAGAGTAAGAAAGTGAGTTGCACTCACTACTTTCTTGATTGTTTTTGCTGGTCTGCTTAAAGGCAGGCTTTGGACCTTTATGTAATATACAATCATCTTTAATTTTTTTGAAGATTTGCCATACAGCATCATGGAAACGTGCTGTTGTAGATCTGATATCTTTTGATTAATTAAACGTACACAGTTTGAAATATCAGCGAACAGTGGAAGTGCAATTAGAGTAGATTAAGAACAAACTTGCTTGGAAGGCCAAGATAACATATGCCTGCTTTAACACATGAACACTTCTCTGTTTCCTTCCACCTCACTCTTCCAAGCTTGTCATTGCTAGCAATCTCATTTTCAGTCTGAACATTTACTGTAATAGAAAGAACAGCAGAGGTGCTTGTGTAAAGAAGAGTCTGATGCCTGTATCAAAATCTGTCTGTAATGCAGTCACAATGAAGCAGCTGCATAGATATTTTTCTTTTTAAAAAAAATAACTGTAGACTGGGAGAAGCATGCTTCTAGTCATTCCGCCAGTGGTAACAACATGTGCACATTGTTGCCATAGGCATGTTCTGATAGTCCTCAGTTGCATGACATGAGGAAAAGATGTGGGGAGTCATGTCAGCGCTTACACTTCCTATGTTATTACTCCTGGATGTAGTTCTGATAGAGAATTGTAAGATAAAGCGAGTAACTATCAGAATAATACATCTGTTTTTTCCGTAGACTTGAAGTTATCTTAACAGCAAACCTGAAATGGTTTTGAAACTTTTTTCTCTTTTTTTCTTTTGTTTTTGGTGGAAAAGATACTGCACTATAAACAAGCAGATTTTGTGAATATTTCACATTTAAAGAGTTCCCTCACCCAGCGAGCATAAGCAGAGATACATGAATTAGCTTGCCTTGAAAGCTAGCTGCTAGCCGTCAAGCTAATGATTTTACACATGAAAAAATTCAACAAAGAATTCCAGATCTTTCTCCATTAGATCTGTTGGACAATTTTTACATGCCTGATTTTGGTATCAGTGTGCAACATGCAGGTCTCATTTGGCAGAATAAAAGTGCTTTATCTATTTCTTCATTAATGTTTCCATTACCATTCTTGGATTGTGAATAAGTGATTAATACCTATATTGCCAGGACTTGTCAGTGTAATGCACCAGTGTGTGCATTTCAAGAACACAATGACTCACTTCGGTGTGATAAATGTATTCACTTGTTTGTATGAAAGACACTTTGTTGCTACAGATAAGAGGAGGTGTAATGTGGTGCGGTATTCATGAATAATTGATCTGTGGTGTCTGTTTCATTTGTTGTTTTTGTAATTTGTAACGGATACTTGCTGTGGTATTGTATCATCCCTGTCAATAACCATCTGTTAGTGAATGTAGCTATTTTAGTCAGCGGTGAAGGTTTGGGCAGTAAAACAGACATATTGCCAGGCTTGCGGGATGTATTTGCTGATTATACATGTCCCATTTAAAAAAATAAAAAAAATCTAGTGTGCTAACATATGAAAGAATCCACAACTCAAGCTTGTATCTAACTGTCTCTTAGAATGCAAGTTTGTGTGCTGGCCCGGGCAGTGCTTAATTCCACATACTAATGTGAAAAGCACTGAGCTATCTTTGAGGCTGGGACTCTCCATATGTTGATACTCCAAATCTGTTTAATGCTTGTGATTGCCAGGAGAAGCATAAAAAACACTGGTTATTTATGAAGTAATACAAGCTGGGAAAGTACTCCTTAAAAAGCAAAATATGTATAGTTTATGCATCTCAATAGCTAGTAAAATTCAGAACCTCAGATTCATTGTAGCTGTTTGTATTATTTAGCCCATAGTGATTTTAGAAATATCTAGAAAATTGTAGCATCTCATCATTGCAAAATTATTTGAAGTGTGTTTACTTCCAGAAATTTTCTATAATGCATTTCCATTGTGTGAATAAAAACTGTTGAATATTGCACCACAGGCATCTTAACTTTAATGGATACTAATCTCTGCTGTGCTTTTCTGTTCAAACTTGTCTAAATTACATTTTGCCCTGACTTCATTTTAGAGAGGGACATTGAAGCTGATAGGAGTATTTGCCTTCAAAAGTGGCTGAAAATTGTCTTTGTAAAACATAGAATCTTAGATTTCAATGAGATTTTTTAACTCAAACATTTCATAAAAGTTGTAATCACAGACTGAAGTCAGAATAGCAACACTGGAAGCTGATTGCCATTGCTGAAGTCTCTTCTGTTTTCTAAAAATTTTAAAAATCTGTTTTAATTAGATGTGCCTGCTCTCTCTAGGCACCCAAAGTATCATCTTCCCATCATATGCAGGGGTTGCCGGGTTTGTCCCAGCCATGGGCTTTGCTCAAGGTGCTGGTAAGCTTCTATTTTATAAAAATGTGGTGTTTGCATTTGGTGCTGGAGGGCTATCTGAATACACCTGCGTTCAGAGCAAATTGTTTTAAAATAGAGCAGTCAGAACACAATGTCCATTTGCGTCATTCTATTTCTCATATTATTCAGTAAAGCTACTTTCTGTAATAAAAAACATATGCTGAAGTAGTTTACCATTTAATAAGTGAATAAATTAAATGCCATGATAAAAGATTACCTGTCAGAGAAGAAAATCTACGCATCTGTTTTTCTAAGAGTAGTGAGACTTCAGTGACATTCAAAGCTAAAGCAGGAAGTCTCCCCTTTTCTGGCTATAAAATGAGAAATAAATGGTCTTCTAGATTCAGCAATCTTTTGCTTTCTAGCACAGGATAAACTTCTGTGCTAAATTATTTTTCTTCTTTCTTGGGCTGCAATTTATGTGCCCTTCTGTTTGGGTCTGTTGGTGTAGCTGAATATTTCTTCACCTCTGGAGGGGAGGTGCTTCCTGCTTTATTGGTCAGATACTAAGAATAACCAAATTCCTTAAAAGCTTTTTTTTTAATTGAATATTGAAGTTTTTGCGAAACATAACTTGCTTTTGTCTTCTAAAATGTCTTTTCCACTTTGAGATGTCAAGTGATGCTATTAATACTTTGAGATGTCAAGTGATGCTATTAATACTCTTCCAGGTGTTTCGATTCCAGCTGTTCCTGGAACACTTGGTTCTCTCACCGTCGCCACATCTGCAGCATCTGTACCGATGCCTATTCATGGTGTTACTGGTGTTCCAGGAAATTCTGTGTTACTAGTCAGCAACCTCAACCCTGAAGTAAGTTTAATTGGTGGCACTGATGTAGGTATCAACTCGTACCAACTCCCAGAATCCTCCTTGCGAATTGTCAGTAGCTGAAGGAGTAAGAGAGGAAATCTCTACGTAAAAAACGGGACAGCTCTATTCTTGTTTGAGATAGTTTGCAGTATTGACGAGGTTTAAAAACTCCAGTTAGCAGTGAAGAGCTTCCTAACACAATTTACTTTGGGAAATCTATGTTAGCAGTGTAGCTAGTAATTAGAGAAAAGTCTATGGTCAGATATGAGAAATGTTTGAAGAGGTAAACAACAGATATTATAGCTAAATTTACTGGTATCTCTGTTAATATGTGTGCTACTTTATCATTAGAGAAGCTAAAGAATTTTTCATTTGTTACAAAACATGAGGAGTTAGAGAAATGGGAGGGAATAGAAAAGGAGATAAAAGCATACCAAATCAAGTACCTTTCAAAACATTGATAGGGCCTTTCTGGTTTTGCAACTTTTCCCAGGCTGGAAAGGAAGAACACAGGTGCACTTGGCTATCAATATCACCATAAATCATTTTTTTAAAGTTAACAAATACACAGGTTCACTTTTCATAGCACCACACAGATTTTTTTTTTTTTTTTCATGTTTGCAGTATAATTGCCAAGGACAACTTGGATAGTTATTTTTGTAGTGGAAATTACATAGACTGTTTTATAAGCCTACTCCTGGTACTCAAATATTACACATCAATCTGTGCTTAATTAAAAGCAATGCACATCTCTTAAAAGAAGAAAAATCAAGCTTTTTCAAGGCCATGTCTTAAAACACAATTCTTGACTGTTGATAAGCAGTTCTACTACGCAATATAAAATTCTTACTTGTTTTACACACTCATTAGATTCACTTAACAATAAAAATTGATAAAATTAGGAGTTATTGGCAAAATGGAAGTTATCTTCATATTACTGAAGTTTAAAAATCTGTTGACCAGTTCTTTTAATCTTTAAGTAAGCATTGGAAGAAGTAGCTGTAGATTAGGACTGTAAGACAAGTCAATTCTTCTTTAATTCGTCAATATATCTTGTCAGTTAATTTCTGATGATTGCTGTGGATGTGCTTTCTGCAGCTGATTATTCAAGATGACTCTCTTGAGTCTTAAAAGTGTGTTAGTGGGTGGTTTGTTTTTTTTTTTTCAAGAATAAGCATATGTGAAGCATAGGTCAAAGCTATTTTTAGGACATTTTACTTTAATATTAATCATATCTATGAAGTTGTCATGTAGAACTTTGTGCTGCAATGCATGATACAACATAAATGCATTAAATAATGCTCAACTTCTTGAAAGGTAAAAAATAAGAATGTAAAAAAACATTAGTTAGAAATATAAATTGTTGTAACTACATTGGCAACTGTGTAGCACTTACTCTTCAGTAGTTGTTGTCTGACTCTGTCACTTACTTATCTGTGTATAGAAAACCTGATTGACCTTATTTCAGTTTATGTTTCTGCCCCGTTGCAGGGTTTTCAGTGTTCATTTCAATATTCCCTCATGACTTTTAAATTAGCTGGTTTCGTCTTCCAGAAAACATTTTTAGTATAAATATTGCAGTCTCATTTGGTTAAGAAATGTCTTTAAATAAATTGTGACAATTAAAATATTTGGGCCAGAATCTAGACGAATTTAAATTTTACAATGATAGTAAATATTCCTTATCACTAAATGCTGATGATAAAAGGCTATGGGCTTACACTTAGGCTGCAGTATCTTCTGTTTTTAAATAATTTGAATATGTTTGGTACACATTTCACAGAATCACAGAATCGTAAGGGTTGGAAGGGACCTCGGGAGATCATCTAGTCCAACCCCCCTGCTAAAGCAGGTTCTCCTAGAACATGTTACACAGGACTGCATCCAGGCGGGCTTTGAATATCTCCAGAGAAGGAGACTCCACAGCCCCCCTGGGCAGGCCCTTAAGATATTTGTATGTGCTGATAAGGTCCCCTCTCAGTCTTCTCTTCTTCAGGCTGAACAAGCCCAACTCTCTCAGCCTTTCCTCACAGGGGAGATGCTCCAGTCCCTTTATTATCCTAGTTGCTCTCCTCTGGACTCTTTCTAGGAGTTCCTCATCTTTCTTGAACCGGGGAGCCCAGAACTGGACACAGTACTCCAGGTGGGGTCTCACCAGGGCAGAGTAGAGGGGGAGAATAACCTCCCTCGACCTGCTGGACACACTCTTCTTAATGCACCCCAGGATACCATTGGCCTTCTTGGCAACAAGGGCACACTACTGGCTCATGGTCAGCTTGTCATCCACCAGGACTCCCAGGTCCCTCTCGGCAGAGCTGCTTACCAGCAGGTCAGCCCCCAGCCTGTGTTGGTACATGGGGTTCAACCCCACCAGGTGCAACACTCGACACTTGCTCTTACTAAATTTCATCATGTTCCTCTTCGCCAGAGTCTCCAGTCTGTCCACGTCCCACTGAATGGCAGCGCAGCCTTCTGGTTTATCAGCCACTCCTCCCAGTTTTGTGTCATCAGGGAACTTGCTGATGGTACACTCTGTCCCCTCGTCCAGGTCATTGATGAACAAGCTGAACAAGACTGGGCCGAGTACTGAGCCCTGGGGAACTCCACTAGCTACCGGCATCCAACTAGACTCTTCCCCACCGATCAGAACCCTCTGAGTCCTGCCATTCAGCCAGTTCCCAATCCACCTCACTGTCCACTCATCCAACCCATACCTCTTGAGCTTCCCTATGAGGATGTTATGGGAGACAGTGTCAAAAGCCTTGCTGAAGTCAAGGTAGACAACATCCACTGCTTTCCCCTCGTCTACCCAGCCGGTCATGCCATCATAGAAGGCTATCAGATTGGTCAGGCATGATTTCCCCTTGGTGAATCCGTGCTGGGTACTCCTGATGATCTTCCTTTCATCTACTTGCTTGGAGAGGACACCCAGAATGAGTTGTTCATCACCTTTCCAGGGACAGAGGTGAGACTAACCAGCCTGTAGTTCCCTGGGTCCTCCTTCTTGCCCTTTTTGAAGACTGGAGTGACATTGGCTATCTTCCAGTCATCAGGCACCTCTCCTGTTCTCCATGACCTTTCACAGATGATGGAAAGTGGCTCAGCAATTCAATTGTTGTGATTTGAGAAGGAATAGGACTAGGGAGTGTGAGTAGTGCTTCTGATACCCAGGTATTTTTAGTACCCATTACTGGCAAAACCCTTGCCTCAGTTGTATAAAATCTGGCTGCATTAGGGTGTAAATGATCATCTTTGGTACTCTGGGAGCCTGGTACATAAGGATTTAATTAAAAATCATTGAAGAAAAAATATTTCCTTCAGTATTTAGTTTTATGTTCACAGCTTCTAACTAAACACAATTTAAATACCACTTCTATAGGCTTCGTATATAAATAGTTAAATGGTATTTGTATCACTTTAGCATGTCATGGTCACATACAGAGATGGGGACAAAATTGAAAACAAAGCAAACACGTTTTGCAGCAACTGGTTTTAGTTTTGTAGGTGTCATTTGCCATTTAGAAAATACAAAGGAATTCTTGAATGCTCTTTTCTATTTCTCACTTAGCAAATGGCTTTCATTTTTCAGGGAATGAACTGATAGCTTGGAAAGAATAAGTTCAAATAATTAAGCTGCTTAATATATTAGTAACTTCTTCAGCATCACAGTCTGAGTCTTGAGTGATGAAAATGCATGAGCCAAAGTGTTAGCTTGTTTAAATATTTTGTATGTGCATAGCAAATATATATTAACAAGAATGCTATACACTGTAGTTAATGCAGGGAATAGCTTTTGGAGAGACAAGTTTATGTATTAGTGTGCAGTATCTCTTCCATTGTTTTTGTTTACCATGCACTTATGGAATAGATTTCTTTATTTGCATGGCTTTAAAAATAATATACTCATTTTATCATTTAAACAGGCCATCACACCACACGGACTTTTCATCCTATTTGGTAAGATATGTCAAATATACCTTGAGAAACTACAGGGCTAGCATTCTTTTCATTTATCTGACACACGCTAGTTAATGCAAGCTCCATTGTTCTGTCCTTGTCCAGAAAATGCACAAGAGGATGTGCTGGTTTTAAAATTACAGTAAGTTGAGTCAGTAGTTGTAGGCCACAGGTACCAAAAAGGCGAAATGGTTCAGTGTCAAAAGAATTTCAGTTGTGTGGTCAGAGTTGTTTGCTACAAAGAATGGGAAAGCAAACTAAGATGAAAAAACAAAGACTGCATCAGAGGAAATGGAGTACAGAATTGGCACGTCTGTTAGTTGCAGAGGATAATGTTTTTTGGCATAGTAATATTTTAATATGCCTCTGTTAAGAGGACTTTAACACTGTTGCACTATTTAAAAGCTGAACATAAACATGCAGTTTTATGACTAAGATCTTGTTTTTTTTCCCCCCATTTCTGAGCCTCAGAAAATAATGTACAAACCTTAAAGCTCTCCTTCATACTAATTTTCTAACCAACCTGTTTAATGAGGTGATTATTTCTGTGAAACACTAATGAAAGTCAAAAGAAACAGACTTGCCCTTGTGCTTTCTGTAGTAATGCTCTGGACAAATTTCCTTTCTGGATTTCCACAGGTGTGTATGGTGATGTGCATCGTGTGAAGATCATGTTTAAGAAGAAAGAAAATGCTTTGATTCAGATGGCAGATGCATCCCAGGCTCAAATAGGTACTGATTTTTAAGGCACAGTTGTGCTTCAAACTGTCATGAGTGTAATACAGATGAGGAAGTTGCTGTCTGTCAGTGACAAGCATAAACAAATTAAATCCACCATTGTGATGCTTCGCTACATACAGACTTTTCCTTGTATATATTGATGATGATCTCTTTGCTTTCATGTAAACAAATTATTTTCCTATAGTGGTTAAAAAAAAGACAACCCTGTGAATCTCAATCTAGTAAATGTTAGAATTAATACACCATACAGATTTCCTGTAGTTATATCTAGCTATTTAAGAATAATCACCTGCTCTTTATTGAAATGCTGGTTTGCATTTTTGTTGCATTTAAACTGGAGGATATATTACATCCCTATACTTTTTTTAAGTATAATGTTATGACATAGCCCACCTGGTAGACATGGAATTTGCAGTTTAAATTTAGAATGTGAAATATGACACCAGACAGAAGACAATATTAGTATTCAAAGAACCCCTTTTTCTTCTCCTCCCTTCATTCCTGTTCAAATTATATTTCCACTGGTTAGCCCTCAGCCACCTGAATGGACAGAGGCTTTATGGAAAGGTCCTCCATGCTACTTTTTCAATACATCAATCAGTTCAACTTCCTCGTGAGGGACAAGAGGACCAAGGTCTGACAAAGGACTATAGCAATAGCCCTTTACATCGCTTTAAGAAGCCTGGCTCTAAGAATTTCCAAAATATCTTTCCTCCATCTGCCACCCTGCATCTCTCCAACATCCCGTGAGTATCTACATGTGTGGTGATCTTGGAAAGATGATGTTTTTTAGATTATGTTCTTAAGTTACAAAGTCTGACATAAGCTTTAAATTTCCTTGGCCTTTTACATTTTCCTGAGAACTTGGGTCATTCTGCTGTGTAATTAACAATAAGTGAATTCTTTAACTGTCACTTTTTTATTTTTAGCAAAAAGGGTAACTGAATGCTCTTCTTTATGAGTTTTAATACAGTTTACATTTTCTTGAGAATATGCTTTTGTTTTTCACATATTAAGTCCTGTGATACAAATTTTTGCAAAGATTAAAGACACGGTTTTTGAGATAATGTACTGGAGTTATATTGCATAAAATTCATCACTGGCATTGTTATTTAATGTAGATACAGTTTTTAATCTGTCTAATACTATTTAAAGAACAGTTTCTACAGAATTCAGACCTCTTACACAGAGGGGAAGTTTTTTTAAGAAAAATGTTTTAAGAAGCATGTTCTTTAAAACTGAAATAACCTCTTTTCCTATCTAGAATGTTGTCAACAATATGTGGAGCAACAGCCAAACATAAGTTTTTACAGGTTTCTTTTGTGTGGCAGCTGTGCAGGGAGGGAAAAGGGAAAACTATGGAATTTTGTCCGAATAAGAAAAAACCCAAGACACTTAGAAAATGGTTTTTTGAGTAAAATAGAAAACTTTAAAAATTGAAAATACGTGAAGCACATTAACAGTAATTAAGAGCTAAAAGGTATTTCTTAAGGTACCAGTTAAGACCTGAAGTGATTTTTATGTAATCTGAATTTAACTGAGGAAGGAACGGGGGAGGATGAAAAGCAGGAGAGTGTATCTGAAATGTTTTTGTAGCTCACTGGGATGCTAAATCTTAGTGTCAAAGCCAAGATGTTTGGGCTAAACTGTTGACCTGGCTTGAGCTGATGGAGATAGTTTTTGCTCTTCAAATTTAATTTAGAAGCCAGAATTGAGATTCTGATACTATTACAGAACTCTGTGCTCTTTTACAAGTTGAGGGGGAGTTGTTTTCTTTTTTTAAATAGGACTTCTGCTACTGTTGATTATCTGAAGAACCTTTTTGCAAGTACTGGATCTACTGTGAAAGCCTTCAGATTCTTCCAGTAAGTTCTTTTGTAAAAATGCTGAGCAAGCTTTCATCCTGAAAGATGGCTTATTGCTTTTTTGGGGGAAATTCCATGTGTGTATAACTAGGCAAAAGCTGTACAGCTATGACAGTTTTTATTATAATCTTAACATTTTAAATGGGATACTGTGTTAGCATAATTAAATGAAAATTATTCAGGCTTTTGACAAATTCCACATGTGTTCAAAGTAAGATAAGTTTAAGGAAAGTAAATACTCGCTTTTTAAAAAAGAAATACAAGCTGTGTATATTTAAAATGTCATGTAGAAGGTGACAATGAATCTGCCCCAACATTCGTTAAGGTTGCTTGGCAGCATTACCAGGACAAGCTGGAGAGGTGGGCCTGTATGAACCTCAAGGTCCTGCACCTGGGTCGGGGTAACCCTGGTATCAATACAGGCTGAGGGAAGAAAGGATCAAAAGCAGCCCTGCCAAGAGGGACTCGGGGGTACTGATGGACGAAAAGCTGGACATGAGCCGGCAGTGTGCGCTGGCAGCCCAGAAGGCCAACCGTACTCTGGGCTGCATCAGGAGAAGTGTGGCCAGCAGGGCGAGGGAGGTGATTCTGCCCCTCTACTCTGCTCTGGTGAGACCTCACCTGGAGTACTGCGTCCAGCTCTGGAGCCCTCAGCACAAGAAGGACATGGAACTGTTGGAACGGGTCCAGAGGAGGGCTACAAAAATGATCCGAGGGCTGGAGCACCTCTCCTGTGAGGACAGGCTGAGAGAGTTGGGCTTGTTCAGTCTGGAGAAGAGAAAGCTGCAGCCATTCAGTACTTAAGGGGGGCCTACAGGAAAGATGGGGAAATCTTTTTAGTAGGGACAGCTGTGACAGGACTAAGGGTAATAGTTTTAAACAAAAGGAGGGTAGGTTTCGAGTGGATACAAGGAAGAAATTCTTCACAGTGAGGGTAGTGAAACACTGGAACAGGTTGCCCAGAGAGGTGGTGGAGGCCCCATCCCTGGAAGCATTCAAGACCGGGTTGGACGGGGCTCTGAGCAGCCTGATCTGGTTAGCGGTGTCCCTGCTCACTGCAAGGGGGTTGGACTAGATGACCTCTAATAGGTCCCTTCCAACCCTAAACATTCTATGATTCTATGATTATTTTGCATGATCATACCTGCTAGAATAATCCCATGTATATGGACAATACAAATGTATCTTAGAGGTCTTCAAGCCTTATTTCAACTGCATTTTTTGAAGTGCAGTGTAATGGAAGAACGGCATGGCTGTAGACCACTGATCTGCAAAATTTGTATAGTTTTGTTGTAAAAATCTCGTTTTAGCAGGTGCATAACTAGTTCCGATTCGTTCAGTGTGTGTGATGTGGCTGAAAAAACACTTGCATCACTTTTCTGTGTTGGCTAGTGTAATGAAAATTTGGTTAGGATTAATAATGTTTTTTCTTCTACTTCAGGAAAGATTGCAAAATGGCTCTTATCCAGCTGGGCTCTGTGGAAGAAGCAGTTCACGCTCTCATTGAGCTTCATAATTATGACCTTGGAGAAAACCATCACCTCCGAGTTTCCTTCTCAAAATCTATAATCTGACTTTTCTGTGAACTTTCCTGCATCACAGTTTTAGTAAAATCTTCAGCTAGGGACTGAAACAGCTGTGACCAGCTCTGTCTTTTAAAACAAAAAGCTCATTCATACACGAAGAATTAAGCAATGATATTTTCTGTGAGTATGCGATCAAATTTTAATACTCATCCACAAAAAGATTCTTCTGTGAAATTGCTTTAGCAACAATATTTATCATCAAATTTCCTACTGGAAATTTTATTTTGAGAGCATCCCTTTAGTTTTTATTTGAAATCAGCCTTACAAAACATTATACAATATAACAAACAGAGTATTTCTAACAAAATCATAAATCTAGTCTACACAGAATAAACACTAATTTGAATGTGAAATAGTGCTTGGGTTTCTTGAAGAAAAGCAAGCATTGACTGTGACTGTCCTCTTAAATAGTATTTATGTTACCAGGGTGTGTGTTCATACTTTGGCAAGTCTTTACAAGTAACTTTTTTTTAAAAAACAAAAGCCTGCTGTTCATATGGATTAAATTATTAGAGAAAAGGCTGTGCCTTCTCTCTGTAGAGTAAAAAGATACTGGACAAGTTTCTTCAAGATGCGGTGTCAGAGACTTAGCTTGAATTAACCATGGAATGGAAGTTTGATATCTTATTTTTACAATAAAGTAATGTTGTGTAATAGTACTTTGGGGAAAATAAGACAAGAAAATAGTCCTGATTTCAAATAATTTTTTACATTTCTTTAAAGAATAAAATGTTTACAATCTTATGGAAAATATTCAGGTCTATGATGGTTTAATAAGTTTTGAAGAAGTTATTTTTCTTAAGGTCATCTTTGGGGGAATAAAACTTAAACCTCAAGAGTTTTTTGTACCACTGTAATGTCTAATACTTAAATTACTGTGTATTTACTTAATTTCTTATTATGTGCCTTACTATGTGCTTATGATAAAATAGCTTTTTTCTGAAAAATAGATTGTGAGCTTTGTGAAAATTCTCGGTTTTTTTGAAAATGTTTTCCTTGATACTTCAATTTTTTTTTTTCATTAAGTAATACTCTGAATTATAGTGTCTTGTGCTTTGGTGTAGAGATTGGATAGAGGTGGGAATGAGGTTTAACTCATTGCATAATCATGTAGGGATTCTTCGAATTTCCCTGGCTGCAGTTGTCTGATACCAGTACTTGGCTGAAAAAATTTCACACCCAGAAAAATGCACAAAAGAATACTTATATAGAAAGACCAAACAGAAAACTCACTCCAGTTTCTGGACGTCCTCTAACTTTTTTGAGGGACATTTGCTATATCAGAATATTCTCTTCTGAGTTCCTGCATTTTCTCTCAGC